TTTTCAGGTTGAACAGCAACAGTTTGGGAGTTCTAATCATAGGCATAGGCGTCGTCTCATTTTGAAACCACTTGCATTCCGTATTAAATCACTATAATATTTCGTGCTCGGAAAAGTATCATTAGTTCCAAATAAGGGANGTGAGTAGGGTAAATGTAATCTGAGTAATTTTGCGTATCCAAGTAAAGAAAGGAGTGCAATGTATCGAGTTACTGAACAGACATGAAGTAAGCTCGGTCATGAAGGGCGAGGGCGAGGCGCTCACGAATTTTGTCGGGTGTGCGTGGTTGACCGAAAATTTGTACCTCCTGTTATCCTGTACCAGAGCTACATATGAGGGCAGAGGCGGTGTAGTTGCAAGTGGCGCCCTTCACATTCGCATGGTCACGGGTTCAAATCCAGAGTCTCCTCTAACTCCTGTTTACGTGGACCTAGAGCGTTCAAATTCGTTAGGAGTACAGGCGACAGGATGGGAATCTCGTGGTGGGTGGCAGGCTGAATTCTACTCTTAGGGGAGGGAGGGGTGGTGCGCGAAACGAATGGTTGAGCGGAGGACCCAAAGAGTTCAAATTTGGTAGGAATACAGTTTTTCATATTAACAGTAGAACTTGTGCATTTTAATAAGTGATGTAGGATATGACATGATCGTAGATTCTCTGCGATAGGAACCAAGTGACAACTGATAAGAGAAGATAAGGGGCCCAAGAGAGCAACAGCCACCTACCGATCAAAATACTAACCCTTCGGTATTTAGGATGTAGATTTGCCTGTTCAGTAAGTTTCATTCGATAAGACGATGGTAGAGTAGGGGACAAAAGTGAGTGGTAAATGCAGTGATAGGGACCCTTTAGAGGCACTACGATATGCAGATGAGGCTTTTGTTCATTTCTTGCTATTAGATGACGACTGTTACCGAGCAAGGTTTGTATCTCAATGAAGGATCCACTTTGGTCGGTATCACTTGTGACGACACTTAACCGACCGCCGGTAATTTGCAATTCTCAACTAATGATAGTTCCGTAAAGAGAAGGGTCCATCGATAACAACATCTGATAATGGTGCTATCGTCCCTCGAAACGCTTGTGGGTACCGCTCAAGGCTTGGTTGCCTAATGGTTAAATCTTTATTGGGTATTCATTACTAAGAACGAGAGCAAAAGATCGATAATTCTAAATAAAAGCGTAAGCGCCGACGTACACTTAATACCGTTTGCACTGCCCTGTTGGTCCTGTCTCGAACTTCGTGAGGGGGAAAATATTCGTTTCAAAGAAGTAGTGGAAAGTTAGCCGATTACTACAACTTTGGCCGAAGAAGGAGGGAAGCCCGGCGTTAGCGGGTCGAACCGACTGGTATTTGATAATGGCGTTATTATGCTATTATGCGTTATTATGACTCGATTGTGAAGACCATTCAGAGATTGGTTGCCTAACAGTTCAACCTTCAGTGGGTCATTATTTTCAGGTTGAACAGCAACAGTTTGGGAGTTCTAATCCTAGGCATAGGCGTCGTCTCATTTTGGATATAATGATATTATATAATACATGTGTCATTTGGAATGGGAA